GAAGAATGGTCAAAAATTCCTATAAACACACTCCTCAACCTTGTGGACAGCCTTCCCAGAAGAGTTGAAGCTGTAATAGCTGCAAAAGGTGGACCGACATCATATTGAACCCTATGGGTTAGGAATGGGATGGCACTTAAGTTCATATGTGAGTCAAGGCAGGTGACCGAATACTTTTGGTAATATAGTGTATGTAGGATAAGCAGTATGGAAAATGAGTGGATAATATTATAAGATCATAGGCATGAATCAGTCTCCAACAAATAAACCATTAAAAGTGGTTCATTCCAGAGGCTGACTCCATGTTATATTAGTTCCAAACTTCAATAAAATCACTTGGAGGACATTCAGTTAAATGAAAAGGTTTGTACCCCCTGATTTCTATGTGAAAAATTGAAGTGTACCTATGGTTTATCTATTTAAGATGATCGATTTTATAGTTTTATATTCTCATAAATAGCAAATTCTTTGAGTTGCTTTATAGCAAAGAGAACTTTCGAATTTTCTCTTTCAATGGGATGTAATAAAGATACAAGCATTTTATAGATTTAGTTTCTTTATACACACTATTTTACACTGGATTTCATATGAATAAATGCAAATAAATATATAATTACTTGTTTAAGTCACTCTGGAAGGGAAGCTAACTCTGCCCCAATTATTATTATTATTATTATTATTATTATTATTATTAATTGAATAACAATTGTTATAAATTGTTACTTATAATAAACAATAATAAGTAATTTTTCTTGTTATACTGGAAAATTCTCTTTGTTTTTACAGTATATAGTTACTTGTTTTTTTATACACTTTTTACTAGTTTATTTTCCTTTAGCCTGGATAAAAAGTTGTAATTAGGATTTCTTTTTTATATCCCAATTACCCAATCTATGAGAAATCTCACATTTGTCATTGGTTTTTATATTTGGGGTGAAGCAAAAAAAAAAAAAAAAAACCTTAAAGAAAACCCAAAGAAACAAACAAAACAAAACCAAACAAAACCCAGATTTTATTATTTACATGACATTGGGGCTTAATGGAATTTAAAATACAATTTTCATACCAAACTCCAGAGGGTATGGATGAAAATCAAAATGGAAGCTACATAGGAAAGACTAAATGCTGACTGGAAAAGTTCAATATTTAAAAGTGCAGTTATGATACACTATCAAAAAAGGGCAGTTGTAAATGATGACAAGGAATTCAACTGAAAATACAAAACATTTATTTAGTGCTACATGTAACATCAGTCCACTGAGGCGAGCGTAGTGAAGAACCCAAGTGCAGCTTTTATTTACAAAGTGAAAACCAAAATTACAAACAAAGACTTGACTTGACATGGACAAGCTTGACACGAACAGACTGCAGGTTACAACATCATCATCAATACACGACCCAAGACAATGGCTACATGAGGGCTATATATACACCAAACAATCAAGGTAACATGACACAATACAACCAGTGAGGGACAAGACACATGACTAAACCAACCAATAAGAACAAGACACATGAAACCAAGGAACCAATCAGAACATGACACAAAGACAAGGGTAACACATGACCAGATCACATGAGGGGCAAGGAACACATGGGAAATGGAGTCCAGGAACAATAGCAAGAGTCCAAGGTGGAGTGCTCTCTAGTGGAGTTCGTGGGCACTCCAGCTGGGAATCGTGACATAGCCCCCTCCCTAAGGAGCGGCTCCCAGACGCTCCTCAACAGAAGTAGACCTGAGTCCAGGAGGGAGGTGGAGTGGAGGCGGAACAGGGGGAGGGATGGAGGGCCAGGCCCGTGAAGGGGAACATGATCTGGAAAATGACATGGACCGTGGGACAATGGGCAAGAGCATGGGTCATGAAGCAGTGGTAGACTGTGGAGCAATGGAGGACCAGGGCCGTGAAGTAGTGGCAGACTGTGGAACAGTGGAGGCCCAGGGGACCACCAGGTCAGATCCAGAGGAGCATGGAGCCATGGGGGAGCAGGCAGAGCAGGAAGCCAAAAGCACCAGGGTGGAGCTGAAGAGAGCCAGGGCGGAGCAGGCGGAGCTGACGGGCACCGGGGCAGAGCAGTCGGGTCCGAAGATCCCCACGGCGGAGCAGACGACCACCACAGCAGAACAGAGGGGAGCAAAGATCCCCACAGCAGAGCAAATGTCCACCAATGTAGTGCTAACGAGGCAGGTGCACACCAAGGCGGATCAGGCGGGACTGGCACAGAGAGGTTAATAACGGCCTCCGTGGTTGAGACAGGACAGGCGAGGAGCTCGGAGACGGCCTCCGTGGCCGTGACAGGGCAGGCGAGGGGCTCGGAGACGGCCTCCGTGGCCGTGACAGGGCAGGCGAGGGGCTCGGAGACGGCCTCCGTGGCCGTGACAGGACAGGCGAGGGGCTCGGAGACGGCCTCCGCCTCGGGAGGTTCTGCAGCAGACGCCGCCACCTCGGGGACAGACTCGTGGACAGGGGAGGCCTCTGGGATGCCAGCCGCTCGCACTGACATCAAAGGTGGATCCATCACACTGGCAATCAGTCTCATCAGTCCTGGCCCAAGCTCCGCATCTGCCGGAGCTTGGGTACTATACCCCCTCCCCAAAAAATTCTTACGGGAATCTTGCATGGCATCCATGGCATGACGGGGTTCAGACGTGACGGCCGTACCATGGTAAGACTCGGGTGTGGCGGCCATCTTGGCCGGGGACTCGGGCGTCGCAGGCATGACGTGAGCAGGCCCTGGAGAGGCAGGCATGACGTGAGCAGGCCCTGGAGAGGCAACAATAATCACTGGACCTGCTGGTGGCCATGATGGGTCAAGCTCCGCTGCTGCCGGAGCTTGCCGTTGTTGGCCCCCCCCAAAAAAAATTCTTTGGGGTTTCAAAGTCCTCTGCCTCTCCCACAGTGAACGAGGAACCACTCAACTGGAGTGCAAAGTCAATATATGTAGCCAGAGTCCAGTGAGGCATGTGACATAGCATTAACAAAGATTTCTTCCGTGAGGCCAAAACGGAAAATGTTTTTGAGGGCAACGTCATTAAAATCCACTAAATGGCACAATCCACAAAAGTCCTCAACATAATCCTCTATGGCCCTGTCGCCTTGACGAAGGCAGAGGAGGCGAGAAGTTGCTGGGTACAAGAGAACCAGTTCCATTGGCAGCCATACATGCCCACGCCATGACATTACCACCAAAAACAGGAAGGCCAGATTAGAGTTTGCCAAACGACATCTAAAAAAGCCTTCACAGTTCTGAAACAACATCCTATGGACAGATGAGACCAAGATCAACTTGTACCAGAGTGATGGGAAGAGAAGAGTATGCAGAAGGAAAG